CATTCTTTGAGTTGTCTTTTTATCCTTTTGATAATGCTTTTCTTGATACACAAGGTTTTTTTATTTTGATGAAATCCAATTTATCTACTGTCTTTTCATTTGTTTCCTGTGCTTTTGGTGTCATATTCAAGAAATTGTGGCCAAACTAGTATCATGAAGAGTTTCTTCTAAGTTTCTTCTATGTTTTCTTCTAAGAGTTTTATAGTTTTATATCTTACGTTTAGGTCTTTGATCCATTTTGAATTAATTGTTGTATGTGGTGTAAAGGAATAAGGTCAACTTCATTCTTTCACTTGTGGTTATCCAGTTTCCCCATTACCGTTTGTTGAAAACACTCCCCAAGATTCCCCATGAAATCTTGACATCGTTGTCAAAAATCAGTTGAACATTCATGCAAGCATCTATTTCTGGGCTCTCCATCCCACTGGTCTTTATATCTGTTCTTATGCCAATATGACACTGTTTGGGTTACTGTGACTGTAGTAAGTTTTGAAATCACGAAGTGTGAAACTTCCAACATTGTTTTTCTTTTTCAAAATTGTTTTGGCTATTTGGGGCCGCTTCTTCCATATGAATTATAGGATGGGTTTTTCTATTTATGCCAAAAAAAATACTATTGGGATTTTAATAGGGATTACATTGAAACTGTAATCACTTTGGGTAGTATTGTCATCTTAAAACTATTAAGCCTTTCAATCCATGAGCACAGATTTTCTTATATTTATTTATTTATGTCATCTTTAGTTTCTTTCAGTAATGTTTTGTAGTTTTCAGTATACAACTTTTTCACATTCTTGGTTAAATTTATTTCTGAGTATTTTATTATTTTGAAGCCTATTGTAAATGAAAAATTTTAAATTCTTTTTTGGATTGTTATTGTTAGTGCATAGAAGCGCAGCTGGTTATGTTGATTTTGTATGCTGCAACTTTATTAAATTCGTTTATTATTTTTGACAGCTTTTCATGAAATCTTTAGGATTTTCTGCATATAAGATCATGTCATCTGAAAACAGATACTTTTACTGCTTCCTTTCCAATTTGGATGCCTTTTATTTCTTTATTTTTCTTGCCTAATTGTTATGCCTAGGACTTTCAGTACTATGTTGCAATGAAGTGGCTAAAGTGGGCATCTTATCTTGTCTTGTTCCTGATCTTAGAGGAAAAGCTTTCAGACTCTCATCCCTATGTTAGTTATAGGTGTTTCATATATAATCTTTATCATGTTGAAGTTGTTTTCTTCTATTCCTAGAGCATTGAGTCAAGTGCTTTTATCAAGAAAGGGTGTTGAATTTTGTCAAATGCCTTTTCTGCATCGGTTGAAATGATCATGTGGTTTATTTTCCTTTATTCTATTAATGTTGTGTAGTACATTTATTAATTTTTATATGTTGAACCATCCTTGCATTCTGGGACTAAATCCCAGTCTTGGTGTATAATATTTTTAATATGCTGCTGAATTTGATTTGCTAGTATTTTGTTGGTAATTTTTGCATCAATATTCATAAAAGATATTGATTTTTAGTTTTCTTTTTTTTTGTAGTGTTTTTGTCTGCTTTTGCTGTCAGGATAATCTGATCTCATAGCATGAATTAGGAAGCCTTCCCTCTTTAATTTTTTGGAAGATTTGGAGGAGGATTGATGTTAATTCTTTACATTTTTGGTAGCAAATTTGTGAGCTACCATCACATGGTTTTTCTTGTTACTGATTCAATCTTTTAT